TCGCAAAAGGCACTTGGCAGGCAACAATAGTCAAAATTAAAACAAACCAGAACTAACTGGTAAAGATAAACTTGGAAACAAAATAATTCATAATATTAATTAAATAAAGGACTAGCGGTAGAAATTAATATGAGAAAAAGAGTATTTCAATCTCATAAACATAGTAAAATAAAGTAGTCTTCAGCAGATGCCAAAAGGCCCTCAAAAGGAGGTAAGATGAGCCTCCCGGGGAAAGTGATCTTGCAACCCTCTCATGTGTGCACATCTGATGGCAAGGGGACATTGAAGAGGGTGTCCAAAGATGACCTAAGTCAGGGATGGCCAATTCCCAAGAGACTGCGATCTACTCACAGAGTTAAAAACTGGCAGTGATCTACCCTCTTTTTTTGGGTTCAGGTCAAAATTGTTGAGTTTTTTTAGGAAGAAGGAAGGCCCGTTTTGGGGGGACACAGGGGAACCAAACTTGTTGAGCTTCTTTGGGGGGAGCCTGTGATCTACCAGTGATCTACCACAGACATCCAGTGATCTACCAGTAGATCACAATCTACCTGTTGGATGTGCCTGACCTAAGTGACTGGCAGGGATATGTAGGGGAAAGGAATCCCCTGCAAACCGCCATGACTCAAAGGAATAGCACAGAAGTTATCACTGGGTGCACGTGTTTCTGCAGAGGCCTTCCCCTGGTGTGCCAGTGCCCCTTCCTCTTGACAAAGTCTAGCTTGAAAGAAGCATTTTGTTTGAACCATTCTGTTTGTGGTGTGTGTGCTTGGTTGTGTGTGTGTGGTGCCTGAAACAGTTTCTGCAGTTTGGAAATGTGCCCACAGGCCCAACAAGACAGTATCTGGAATAGAGGCTCAGGGAATAATAATAATAATAATAATAATAATAATAATAATAATAATAAAAAACAGGGCAAAGTTTATTGTTCCTGCTAATCTTTCTCACTCACATCTCTATTTTTGATCTTCGGAGCATAAAAAATTAATATCTTAGCCCAAGTACTAAGGCACCTGGCCTGCCACTGTTGGGTAACGGAATGATAGACTTGATGGCCCTTGGACACAGTAAGCCAGCTCTTAAATGTTTGTCCTAATGTACCAAGTCCATTAAAAAACAAATACTTTCTGACCTTAGAACTATAGTAAGAATATAATCATGTGGCACCCTCACTTTCTGGGTTTAGCAAGATAATTGACATTTTTACCTCTGAATTCTTGCATGTGCCCTATGGAAATTTATAATGGGTAGAAATTGGAAACTATTTCCACTGAGGGCCCTGGTTAAGGCAAGTGACTATTTGATCTGCCACTTATAGTAGAAAAAAGGATTTTCCGTGTTATTGTGTCTGAGATGAAAGGATGGGATTGAATCACTTAACACTAGGCCATGAAGTCACATTGCCTATGTGTCGTTCCTTTTAACACACTCAGGGAATCAAACTTCTCTGCTGAAAAGGCAATATCGCATCTTTGAATAAAAAAAATTCTACTGCTGCATCTTAGCATTCAAAACATTGCTTGGACATAATACTCCCCATCTGATGTACCCCTTTTACACGTTCAGGTTGCACCCATAATGCACATATCTATTTATGTAAAAGCCAGAAAGTATTTTTAATAGATACAGGTATTCAGAAATATATGTGTTTTTATCCTAAGGTAATTTGTCATAGTGTGAAGAACTTATTTCATTTATCTGTTGTGAATCAGCTGCGAATGAATTCTCTGGAAAACCTTGAGTTCTTGTATCAGTTTGGTTGCAGCTCTTATGATACCCATTTTTCAGATGGGCTGACTAGAACTCTACTTTCAGTCCTTTTGTTAATAGTGCCCTCTTCTACCCAAAAGCCGATTGGTTGGATTCAGATAGGAAAGAGAGAACTCTGGCTCACTCCTCCTGCACCCTCCCAGATGGAAATATTTACTAGCGAGTTTGTGTGTTTATATATGCACACTATAATAAACAATACAAATAGAAGAAACACCTGTGTCATTCTACTCATATGTGTCTTACACAAGCTCCATGTGAATTTTGTGTTGGGTGTTCAAAGGCAAAGTAGGTGTTTTCTGTAATATAATATCTCATCATAGCTATACAGGATTTTAAAAAAGTAATCACCAGACAGGTGCATATTATAGTTTTTTGAATCACTGTGGCTTCCCTCTCCCTCTAGCCATTAAGAAAGAGATTTAAATGCCTGTGATCACCTTGAAAAATGCATCTATTCCAAATCATAGATATTGGGAGTTCATATAAATCAAAATGAGCAAAACTGATTAAAGCTAACAATTTGGTGCTTCCATCAGTGTAACTTGAAAGTGCAGCCAGAGGGGCTGAAGTGCATCCGTCATGTGGCCAGTTTCCAGCTGATTTTGGGCCAGACCTTGACAGTCTTCAACTTACTGCACAAATTCCTGCTGGCTCCAGTATCACTAACACTGAATGAAAGCACTAGTATATTTAGCATGCATAGGACAACCCTTGAAGGCCACAGTTTGGACATCTCAGGTATACTCAGGCAGTGCTCGTGGTGTTCAGGGGTCACCAACTTAAAGTGTTCTGAATAATATGTTTCATAATATGAAGCTCACACAAGTTCATGTGTAAACCAGCCTATGCAAGAAAAAAGGTTTCATTTAATTATTTTTATTGTAAATATAAAATGACTGCCCACTTTAAGAAGCTCCTAAAATGATATATATATATATAGAGAGAGAGAGAGAGAGAGAGAGAGAGAGAGAAGAGAGAGAGAGAGTGCATTATTTTAGGTGCTTTTGAAGGTGGGTACTTGTAACTGAAACCATGTTTTCCTTTCATAGGGTAGTTTCTACATGAACTTATGTGAGCCTATGCTGGACAGGAGTTCCATACCTAAATGGAATGAGTCCTTCGATTTGCAGAACAGCAGTTTTGGATCTGACTCCATAAGTTCATTTATCATCTACTTTATAATCGTTTGTCTTCAGGGTATTTTATATAGCATGGGATGTAATGCTTCTTAGCAGAGGCCATGATCACATTTAACTGTGAGTCATCAGGAGATACATTGCACATGCATATGTGATTTGGCCCACATTGTTATTGGTGGAGCTTCACCAACAGCATCAATTTCTACTGGGACTGTGTCTGTGATTGCATGATTGAAATACTTGGAGCTATTGATATCAATATAGTGACATTTTATACCACTGCTATTAAAGAACACAATCAGACATCACTGTGTGTTGTATCACCTCTATTAACCTATTTAATTGAGAGTATCTTCAGCCACTCAGCCAGTGCCTCAGATTATAATCATTAGTGGAATTGATTGTAATCTCCCCACTGCGTATCAGGCTATAAATTCCCCCCATCTACTTCTCTGAAAAAGCTAAACAGCACAAATAGTATTCTGTACCCCTGGTGGCATGGATTGGGAATAATAATGTAAGTCTTACACAACCCGAGTTTAAATAATAGGGATGTGCAATAGCCACAAGATTCAATTCTGGTTTGGTGCTTCAGAACAGAGCAAGATTGAAGGGCTTTGGAGTCTGCCTGATTAGACTTGGAGGTCCATGCCAAAATCTGTTTTTGGAAAAACAATACTTAATCCTGCCACCCACCCCAATTCATTGTTATGGGGACTCAAGAACAGTTATAACTTTTTCCCTTTTGACAGAAATTGATAAGATTTTCAAGCATAGCAGCTGCTGTAGTAAGCCTGCCAAATCAGAGGCAAATATATCCAACTGTTTTTGTATGGACACCTTTAATTGTGATTTTTTTTCTGGCAGAACTGAATGAAAGTTTCAAGCATGGTAGGCCATGCTGAGGAGGGAAAGTTCACCAAATTTCATATCAATAGCTGCAGTGGTTCTCTCACATGAACAGCCGCTTGTGTTTGTGGCAATTGGTCTGAAAATTGCAGAGAGGTACTCTTAGGTAATAAACCTGCCAAGTTGTATGCAAATAGATCTAGGTGGGTTTGTGCTAGGCAGATTTCAAACTTAATGTGGATTTGCTTTCTTCATTTGTTTTGTTTGTGGGCATTGGAGTGAGCACTGATTCAATCAGCTTCTTAGCAGGTGCCAACAAGATAGTTAAACACTTTGGGAGGAAAGTTATTGTGCAATCATGACAGCAGTCTCTGTTTAGGGTGCTTCCAACTCAAGGATCCATATTTCCACCACCCCAAATCCTCTATAGCTGCCTGCCTAATCTTCCTCCTGCTTCTTGGGAACAGGAAGCTTCAGAATTGGGGGCGGTGGGGGGGGGGCTTTTCTCTCTTGCTTAGCCATGCACTCATTTTGTCGTTCCTGCCTGACTCTTCTTCCCAAGCAGGAGGGGCTGGGGCTGTACATGTACAGGTGCATTTTGAGACTATTGGATGAAATTTTCCCCTGCTCTACTGCTTCCTGCAATGCAGACAGATAGCATCTGCTCTGCTGCCAACTTAAGCTGATACCAAACTATACACTGTTGCTTCTGTGAGGACCCAGAATCTCAGCCTTCAGACTATGGGCCTGCCACAGGACAAGCAGGAGGGATATTGGAGGGGGAATCCTTCGACACAGCTAGCTGTGCTGGTTGCTGCCCAGTGCCTTCTACTGGAACGCTACTGCCTTGTGCGGGAGATATCTTAGGGCTGCAGGATATGATGGTAACTCCTTAAAGTGGGAACCATCTGTTATTCAGTCAGGGCCAGCTCAATAAATTTTGGTACCTTATGGTTTCAAATCTCATGATTTCCAAGTCTGTCACACTATCTTATGAGGCTGAAGCAAGTTTTGGAAGCTAGTGGTACTGTGGTTCAGCATTACACTACAGGACATGGATCTTCATCTGGTGAGAAAGGACTTGCCTACCACAACTGGCTTGGTAGCCACAGAATTTATGGATCATGGTTATTATATATATGTGCAAATGTGTATGATGCATACTCATGCAGCCCTTAGTGCTGATCTAATTATATCTCACTTTCTGAACAATCTAATGAGTGATATTTCACAGTACTTTACAGGGCAGGGATGGGGACCAGGGCTGGCCCACCTATGAGGCTAGGTAAAGCAACTATCTCAGGTGGCAGGACCCCCAGGGGCAGCAGATCCATGTGTTGATCTTTCTTTCCCTCTCATTCCCTTCTTCCCTGGCGAGGAGGGGTACCATTTTGGGGTTTGCCTCATGTGACAAAATGTCTTGGATCAGCCCTGTGGGGAACCATCCAGATATTGTTGGACTCCAGCATGCATCAGTCTCATCCAGCATAACCAGTAGACAGGGATGATGGGAGTTTTAGCTCAGCAGCACCTGGAAGGACATAGGTCCTCCATCCCTGATAAAGAAAAAGCTTACTAAGACATGGAAAGTAAATGTTTTGAAATAAGAATAATCCTGGGTTTCATACGCTGCAAAATGCAATTTATACAATGAATAGCTTTTATTACATGAATTCTGTGTAAGAGGATTTGTGTAGTCAAAGAGATTCTCTGTATCAATTAATAGACTAACTTATCATACCTTGAAGTCACACTATATTCACAGCAAAGCATACCAAGTGGTAGGCCACATAAGGAAATGATTAATAGGTCAACCAAATTACCCAAGGAATATTAAAACTTTTATTATTGCACAGTTTAATTAAAGCTGTTAAATTCTTGCAAGGCTTTTATATTATAATGTTCAAATCTTTGGCCTACATATTCTAGAGTAATTCCATTGGCCAGTAGGGACTATACCATGATAAAGCAGTTTGAGGATTGCAACCCATATTTTTATTGGGTGAGCGCACATAAAGTGATTTGAACTAACTACTACTTCTCTGTAACTTCTTCCTAAAACTTTACAGAATGAGGGAACACTTGAAGATTAATTCCTCTACTAAAGCCAATTAGCCCATTAATGTGACAGTGCTGGGTCTGAGAAATCAATGTGATACCCAAATAACTTATGTAACTTTGATAACTGCCGTTGTAACTTAAGAACTCTGTCAGCAAAATTGGCAACTTTAATTACTTTGGCATGCCCATCCTGAGCTTATGAGCGCATCCTGATTAGAACTGATGAGCCTTGATTAATGGAAAGCCTAAAAGGTTAGAAAGTTGTATTAAAGAAGTAAAGAGAATCTTAATTATCTTGTAAGTTTTTCTGTGGGCCTTTTTTCTAGATGGGGAATGTGTATCAGCAGTGAAAGATAAGAGTAAAATCTTTCTTTCCATTCCATTCCATTCTTTTAGGAGCTTTATTTAGATATCAGCAGTGCATTCAAGGGAACACATAAGAGATTTTTACTGCTTCAAGTATCTGGTTGCCATGAGGCAAATGCACTTTTAGAATCTTAAGCTAGTAGGAGTCTGAAGGGAGAGGAATATAATCCAACAAAATTCCACTCCTTCTTCCAAGATCCTATATGGCGGGGAGGGGTGTTAATGGTTGGTTCTTGTTCTTGTTTTTATTATGTATTTTTATTTTTGTGTTGCGAACGACTCAATCTGTGGTGCTCCAAATTTTTAGACTAAAATAACCATACTCTGTGGCCATTGACTATGCTGCTAGGAGATGTAGCCCCAAACATCTGGAAGGCACCAGGATGGGGAAGGTTGGTGTATATACTAATTTCCCTAGTAGTCTATCTTCTAAAATACAGTGCTGTAAATTCTGTGAATCCTGCAAATGCAGGCCTGTGAGTTAGACAATTCTGACACCCTTTCAGTCAAATATAGTAGTGGAAAATTTTATGAGCAGTGCCACCCACCTGACCTCCAGTTGGTCACATTGCTGCTCTTTACCTGGAGGTAGAGTGAGAGTGGAGAGGTGTTGCAAGGTTGACATGGTGCCAATGCACTGGTGGAGCCACTCTGGTGCTCCTGCTAGTGCATTTGCCCTGCACCTTCTTTCCTGCTGCCTCTGCTTCCTGGTAAGCGACAATGATGTGACCATCTGGCCTTCAGCTGAACAGCAGTGTTCCACTGTGCCATCTACTACTAGTTAAATGACCAATAAATGTTTTCATGTAGTGATATGTATTGGTGTCAAGGACAACTGTTAGTTTCTCCTTGCTTGCATTTTGCACAAAATTATTTCTCAGCTCTGAGGATAATGTCGTGTAATGTCATGTAAAGGGTTAATAATGAAAAAGCAATAAATAAACCCACAGACTAAATCCAATGACAGAAGAAACTAGTGGGCACACAGTATCTGGAAAGGAAGAGGACAAAAACAAGTAAATTGCAGCCCCAAATACCAAAAGGTCACTATGTGCTTCTCTTTTTATATCTCCTCACCAGTTGTGCAAATACATTTAACTGGGGCCGAGGAAAGAGGGTGTGCAGCATCAACAAGGAGAGTTGCTGGCATCCATCTGTCTCAATAGACAATGGAATGCGCCTCTGGGGGAGAAGTCAAACCTCTCATTAGCAACACCGAAGTGACCACTCTCGGGAGTAAGTCTTGGCAGTGTGTAGGGAGGTCCTGGGCTGTCCAGGCAACAGGACCCCCCTCTCAGCCTCACTGATGTGGTCCGAAGGAAAGCAGAGTGATATGTTTGGCACCAGCTTGGCTTCAGGAATTGCCCGAAGGAGGCATACAAGGCGCCATCCAACCGTCCTAGGGATTCCACTCTAGATCTGTGTAGGGTTTACTCCTTAGCCTTTTCTCCTCCCAAAAATATCCCACAAGGTAGCAACAAGGAAAGGGTACTCAGGAATGATCATAGAGTTTGTCAATACTGACCTTAGGATGCAACCAAGGGGCTGATAGTTATTACAATTGAACTGACACAGAGACCAAGAGTGTCAGCTGTTGTGCAAGTCTCTGTTTTTACCTCCAGATATAGATTCTGCTGAAGGGTCAACCTAGTAAATGTCATTTATTTCGGTAGGGACCATATATGCAGCCAGTAACTGCAATTCAAAATGGCTTTTGGGCAAAGTACTTTAAAACTTACCCATGTCTCTCTCTTATGCAGACACAGGACTTTATTATCTGTGAATGTTAAACATGTTAATTAATTAAATGGGCATTAATGATTGCAAGATTGTCTATAAGATGTGATAAGAAAATGCTTACTCTGTCATTCTAATAATTCACTCCACCTGCCTTCTGTCAAGATAATCTTCATTGGTAATTAGTTAAAGGCAGAGCAAAAATACTACAAAATGCAGTTACAGACCTCAATGTGTTATATTGCAAAGACCGGTTGAAGGTGGGTGGAAGGATGGATTGATATGTAGACATAATATTAGGATAAACTAATAGTCTGGTGCTTCAGAATTAATGTATCAGACACGAGCAGCTACACACATTACAGAATTCAAGGAGAATGAGAAGAAGTATGAGAGAGTTGCTTTATAGGTATAGTGTTATATCAACACTGGGGAGATGTTCAACTTGCCAACTAAGTTGTTTCATAAAAAGAGGAAGCATAAATCCACCTCCCACTTACTTAAGCCTGTATGGAACACATAAAACCAGCACTAGAGCTATTGATGACATGCTGGTATCAAAATGGATCTAGCAGCAACCATCAGCAATGCTCTGGTATCCATCGTCCCTGTCCTGAAAGCAGCATTACAGTGCTATATAGAAGCCACTGAATCTTACTTCTGAATATGGGCCAAGTAGCAGACAGAAAATCTGAAGGAAGATATTGCTGTATCTTGTTATTGTCATTGTTAAATTTGAGCCCCACCCTTCATCGTAGATCTCATGGCAGTTTGCAACATAAAAATACAATAGGAAAACACAAAATGCATAATAAAAATAGCAACAACAAGAAAAAGCCACCCAGAAACCAATAATGCTTCCCTCCTCCCACCCACAAACACATTTAAAAGGGTATAGGATGTTAATTGGTCAATAGTCTGGTTGAAGAAGCATGCTTCTGCCTGTCCATGTCAAAGTGAAATACTTTTGCAAAAGCCATGGTGTTGAGTATCCCCACTATATGTATATGTGTGTGCGCGCGTGCGTGTGCATGTGTGTTCAAATGCACACACACACTTTATTTTTTAAAAGAACTTGCTTTGGCATAGTCCAGACCAGCAAGACGATTATTGTTGTTGTTAAAATTTGTACACCACCCTTCATTCAAAGATCACAGGGTGGTTCACAACATAAAAATATGAAATGAGAACACAGAACATTATGCCAAACCAACCATGTTTTTCGAACACATGGCTTTCAATTCCAGTTTGTGTGCTTTATTGACCTTCTATCATTAGAGCCACAGAAGCCAAACACATTCACCACATCAGATGAGAAGAGGGTAATGAGGGGGTAGGTTTCCCTGGCAAAGCCGGTAGCCAAATAATTATGTGTCATTACAATATACAGAATTCTGAAAGAACTGTGATAGTGAAATTGGTTATAGGTACTACAGTAGTTACTAGAGATCAATATAATCAGGCTGTCCATTGCAAAGGAGGATTTGGAAGTTCCTTATAGTTTAAAGCCCCGTGAATGCCTTTTACTACAGTGAAGGAGTTGATCTTCAAGCACCTATTTTACTTGTCACTCCACTGAAGATCTCCTTCATAGAAGCCTAGGAGCTTAGTGCACCAATCAGATCTTCCTTTCCAAAAAAAATCACTGGAGGGTGGCAAAGCATGGTAATTCTACTTCTTGAACAATGAATTTTGCTTTGACTTTGTCCATTGTGCTGTGGGAGGAGAGACAAATGTAGGGAAACAAGAACTCATTCCAGAGTTCTGTATGCAAGTCAGGTAAACATTCCAACTTGAACATGCAAACAGAAGGTCCCATGGAAGTGCATGCAAAACTTGATTACTTAAAATAATGTCTGCAGTTTGAGAGGCCAGATGGACAACTGGATTTGCTTTTTCAAAACAAAATCTTTACTGAGTTTCAGGGATTCCCACAGGAAAAACAAAATTGCTCATTCTGGGATGGTTAAAGAACTAAATGGATTGCACAGATGGCTGAGTGACTGGCACAAGGAAGAAATATTACATGTGGATGGGCCAGAGCCATTATTTTAAAGCAGTGATGTTCTAGCTCCTGTGCTTTCATTATAGAGGAAAGGGAAGACATTCAACAATCTAAAATCGATTACTTATTATGTAACTTTTAAAGGATTGTAACAAAACAAACACATGGAAAGTTTAAGCCAGACACTGGCACATTGAGTTTAAGAAATAGTGTGGGCTGACTGTTCTGTTTCATTCTCTCTACTCTGATATAAAGCGTTTGAGCTTTTGTTAAGAAAATAGACCTTTAGTAATCCTAATTTACAGCATATCTGCTTCCGTTTTGTGCAAGGTAGATGAGTCCATATCTATTAGATTGTCCATTAACAAAAGATTGCTCATTGTGGTGCTATTTCCCCCCACAATTAGCCTTTAACATTGTTCATTCATATTCAGATGCAAATATTTTTCCAGTTCCATTCAAATCAGTATAAAGGATTATTCTCACCCATAGCCTAAATAAATAAATAAAACCTGAAGTTGTTTAGACAGGAGAGCTTGTACTACAAGTTACGTAAAATAGATCCATTGGTGTAAGAAACAAGTAGATGATTATGAGGTAGGAATTTGCCAGGTCTGAAGGAGGTGGGAGTATTGTAAAGCACTTCATACCACTATGAACCTGAAGGTCACAAATATGGATTTTTGTGTCTGTGTTCTTAATTTTCTGTATTATACCAGGGTTTGCCATTCCAAAAGCGTGGGGTCCCCCCCCAAAAAAAGATGCATTGGAAAGGAAACAGTATGATTAGAGAAGTTAAAGAACTGATTTGCATCCAAAAACTGAAGTGTACATTCATTTAGGTGCAAATGTAGTGAGGAAAAACATGCAGGTACAATGGCTAAATCCTAAACCAAAGAAACACTTAATTTTCTTTTATTGTGCTTTGTGACTATTAATAATGTTATGGTACTAAGGCAGAAACATTAAGCTAAGCAGGGGAGCCATAAATGTTCCTAGGCTGAGGAGTACTGTTGATATTAGTGGCTAATAGCTCCAGAGTTCACATAAAATGCAGATTGAAGTACAAAGATGTTTAGTGCAGTCAGCAGTGGCAGTGAACTGTTTACAGGTGAAACCAATAACCAGAGGGCAAACTCAGCATGGGGTAGTTTCTGCACAAGACATCAAGGAAGGAATTGTGCAGAGGCTGTAATCGGAATGTGTCTGTCCTAAGGGGGAAAGATTGGATGATCTCTGTTTCTTTCATTTGGGGGTGGGGGGTGGGAGTAGCACTGAAGATGATTAATTGAAATTTGTTTCCATTTACAAATGTCACAAGGTCTGTACTCCTGCATGCGCATAAAACATCTGCATTGATACAGGGAAATTCCTGTGAGGCATATGACACATGACTTAATAGAGCACCATCAGGGCCTGGGGATGGGAAGCTGAGCTTGGGGTTAATGAACCATAATTAAACTCAGTCACTGTGACTTAACAGAAGAATGCAATGTTTAATAGCAGTCAAAGGGGGCATTACCATATTCAATATGTTTATCAGAAAATGGACACTTGCTGTTTTGTCACGGACACATGCAAGAGAGGCACACTGTGAGAGGGGCTATTGACTTGCTAAACAATTTAGATGGCTAAATGAATATGCAGCCTGTTTCATTAAATAGCATCTTATGGGTTGGAAGGAAAGTCACAACCATCGGTTGGAATATACCTAGTCATTCATATTTCATCAGTATCCAATACAGTGGTACCTCGGGTTACAGACGCTTCAGGTTACAGACTCTGCTAACCCAGAAACAGTACCTCGGGTTAAGAACTTTGTTTCAGGATGAGAATAAAAATTGCGCGGCAGTGGTGCAGCAGCAGCAGGAGGCCCCATTAGGTAAAATGATACCTCAGATTAAGAACAGTTTCAGGTTAAGAACGGACCTCCAGAATGAATTAAGTTCTTAAACCAAGGTACCACTGTACTACTTCAACTTTTTTCTATGTTAAATTAAAATATTAAATTATTGAGAATAAGATTTCCATGTTCTTTTACCCTTACACAGCTGGCTTTGACCAAATTGAAAAAAAATCATAATCACATTTATATTCTACTTTTATTGCAGCCTTGTCACTGGCTGTTGTTGTTGTTGCTGCTGCTGCTGCTGTTGTTACTTGGATTTATTAGTTGCCTTATGCCAAAAGCTTCTATAAGTTTTTCACCCAACAAATATCTCCCCAATAACCGGGAACTCTTGTTTGCCATTGTCATTTAATGCCTGCAATTACATTTGAACATATTGTAATGATCTGAAGTCGAAATTCTGCTTGCAGCCAGTTTCTTATAACATAGATTGAACAATGGCAACTGAAGTTTCTTTAGTCTGGAATTGTTTTTAATCTGGCAACTCACAGATGCTATACCAAATTCTAGTAATAATGCATGCAGATGCTACAGCTATTGAATTCACATTGTATCAAAATTAACATATAGTTCCATGCCAGTCTGAAAAAGCCTAAATTATATTCAAATGTGACTTTTCTGCCATAGAAGAAATCAAAGGTATCAACACATACTTGACCATATTATGATGAGTTGTCTATACAATACAACCAATTTGCCTGTAAAGGGTTCTGTATAAATCTGTGTCATAAGATTTGGGGTACACAGGTGTAAACGTAGAGAAATTACAGACTAGCACAGTATGAAAATTTATCAGTAATAGGAATGGAAGAAGAAGTCATGAATGGATCTGCCCACATTATTCTTTCAAGTGTTAAGTAGTTAAGGGAATTATGAGCTGTGAACAATCACAATATTACAGAAATAAATAGGAAAGATGAAATAGTTTTAGAACATTCTAAAATTGTATTCTTAGCTGAAACCTCTTTATTAGCAAGGTATTCATTTATTTCTGTGTGCTGCCCAGCACAGCAGGTAAGAGAGTTTATTCTATTTTTAAGTGATGTGTGTGTGAATATCCCAGGTAATACCAATTATGTTAATAAAATTAGTAATCCAACTATGGCTGATGAAACTGCTGAACTGTACTTGCATTTGTATTGATTGCTGACTGACTAAGTACTGGTGAATGGATGTAAAATTGTGTGATGCAAGATCATTTGACAAAGAAATTGCCTGTTACAAAACACATAAAGTGACTACAAATAATAAAATATTCATTTCACAGCCTTTTAAATACAAGTTTTAAAGCAAACCAGAAATCATTACTTAAGCATAACAAATGCTGAAGATGTTTCACAAATTTACCAATTTCCCCCATGTTGCTTTATAAAGGCCATTTCTTTCCATTCTATATTTTTGTTTGTCATCAAAGTAGTGTTTTAACTGGGATGCCATCAAAGTCCCTTACTCTTCCAGTAGCTCTTTAAAGTGCTTTCTATGCCACCTGAATCACACAGGAGGGGTGCACTGATTGGACCATTACAAATCAAATGTCCATTTCTCTAAGGGAAAGAACACAATTTTAAAGCAAATGGATCATGGCAATTTAAGCCAATCAAGAAGCAAATGAAGCAGCACTGAACACACAAAACATTTATATCTTGTCTTGAGTGAAGGATTAAGTCTAATTTCTCTGCACAACCACAACAACAGGTTTAGGCAAGGGGAATCTTATGGTAGTGTGTCAGTAATTTTTCATAATATTGTGGAATTCCAGTGAACTCATAGCCACTGTTCTTTCAAGACAGCTGGAATGTCATGGTTGTTGGCCTGTGCTGTCAGGGCCAGGTGTGAGAACTGTGGTAACCGATGATTACCAAGCAA